AATGTTTGTGGTTCTACCTGTTTCATGTTCAATGTCTATTAGTTCATTGAAATGCTCTTGAATCGTTCCTATTTTTTTCAGGAATCAAACCAAACCAATCACAAAAATTGCAAGTGCCCCATTTGAACAATTGAAACACTGGATATGAAACAAGTGGAATCATGAGCAGTCTCCATTAAACCATAACCATCAAGCAGAAGTGGACGGCGGGATTGGAGAACACCTTGCAGTATTGATGGGGCACTTGTGATTTCCGTGACCCGTCGCGCAAATCGCGAAAATCGCGCAAATCGCGCAAAGGATCGCGGACTCTGACATCAGCCTTACGGAGGATCTCCTTGAGGTTGGGAACATGTCACGACGAACCGTCGGGCGAAGGGACCCATCCTTGCGCGGGGCTTGCTGCACCCGATCCCTGATCGCGAACTAATACACTCACTGTTGGTGCCGATTTCGTTTAGCGCCTTTTTTGCGCAATAGGGTGAAATAGCTGGGCCCGAAAGAACCTCCTCCCGGAATTGTTTTCCTATTCGTGATAAGCGCACTAAAATACCCCTTTGATCAAGGTTCAGTGAAAGAAGAATGCTTTTTGACCTTTTTGATGTTCCGCCGGTGCAGGTGCCTGGAGTTGTAATAAGTGATAAGTACCAAAATTTGTGAAACCTGATCGACAGTAATGTAAATTACCTCTTTGAAGTAGTGCGGATCCTTCTGCCACGGTTTGGCTGAACGCATCTCGTTTTGCTCGACTTCGTCATACTCATACGCTGAATCCATGACCGTGACACCGTTGGCGAGTTGCCAATTGCGCAGTGCCACCGACTCTTCCGATTTTGATCCTGAAGCGGTTGGCGCTGACGCCTGCTGCTCTTCCATTTTTTCAGACATCTGCAACCAAAAAAACCTGTCTACCATCGCAATAAACGAAACATAAACACTGAACGAATAAAAATGCTGCACAAAATAAGAAAAATAGGTTTGCGAATCCAGCGAATCGCTATCGAATCGCTTCTACGAGCGTTGCACCAGCGAATAAGATGTGTACCAGTGGATCGAACAATCTACCAGCGACTGTTTGAAAGTGTCGCATGCCAACATTCAAAGGAAGTTCCGCCACTTTGAAACAGTGTCAGTTCGCTGGCACATATGTA